CACAACAGACTGTCTGGGCCTGGAGATCATGAGACAGCCATTTAGTACATTAATCTACATTCACCTCTGCTGTGACTCTGAGGGGGAGTTTTTGGCCCAGATCACTGCCTTTCTCTCTCCCACCTTCTCAGCTTTCCTGCCTGCTGGTCCCATCACCCACCACTCCCTCCCACCCACTGTGGCTGTTATACACCAGCTTGCCTGGCAGCACAATGGCCCAGTGTGGGTTGTAATCCTCAGAAGCAGTGGATCGTGGTGGTGAAAGAGGTCCGCTCTATCACTTTGGCCTCCAGAGCCTAGTGGACAGAGGAGGGTAATGCAGTCGCATTACACACACACACACACACACACCCACACACACACACACAACACACTTCCTTGAGGCGGGTGGTGCCAATAGTATAACTGCATGCAAATGCACAGCAAGCTACATATGTTGAATCTTTCATCTGGGTCAAATGACTACATTTCTCTCAGCTCTGAGCACCGCTGTCCTTCCCCACCTGCTCCATATCAAACCCATAACTAGGCCAGCTAGTGCATGGGGGCAGGGGGACATCAGGTAACCAACATTTGACAAAGGCTTATGCTTGCTGACAACAAACACCATAGACTGCTGCATTTGTGTACCAACTCTTGTATGAGAAATACTGTCCAGTGTGACAGGCTTAGAATGTTAAACCATTGATTCAAGGTGTACATTGTAACAAACTTCTGTAGTTGTCACAGTATTACTGTATAAAGAACAAATGCTTACTGTACAACTTGTATACAGCATGTTGCTGTAAATCTGCAAAGCATCACAGTCAAACTTTGTTGGCGGGGGAATTCTACAGTAAATATATTTTTCCTGTGAATCCCAATACAGTAATTTTGAGCAGGATTTATTTTTTCAGCAGAAACAATAATCAGCTGAATTTGTCACAAGAGCGTCTGTCAAGATTCCACAACTTCTTCAGCCTCTCATTTCAGCAAGGTAATGTAACATGTTACTTTGCTACTGCAACATTACATTATTTTATTATTATTGTAACAATTACAGCATTTTATAGGTACTGTGATTACATTTAGAGTAACCATACTGTGGAATGTATTACAGCAACTTACTTGCGAATTGCTGCCAGGTTACTTTACCTTTCACAGTATGTTTTTTTACAGTGTAGCAGAGCATAATGATTAACATGCTATTTCAGGGGTGGCCAATTCCAGTCCTCGAGGGCCACTGTCCTGCTTGTTTTCCAACTATGCCTGCCTGACCAGCTGCTGATTACCTGGCTCAGGTGTGTTCAGAAGCTGGAAGATACCATCTTAGATGAAAGTGGAGTGAGGAAAGATAAAGTGAATTGGTATCTTCCAGCTTCTGACTGACTGAACACACCTGAGCCAGGACAGCGGCCCTCGAGGACTGGAATTGGCCACCCCTGTGCTATTTTGAGAAGGCCGCTTGGCAACACTGTGTCAATAAGAATAAGGTCACATGTATTGTTATTCCATCTTCTTCACACTCTCAGAAATCTCGTGAAGGTGTGTCATTGAGAGACATTACAGCCCTTTAGAAAATCCTGGGGATCAGGGAACTGGCTCAACCTGAACACAGTCACTTCTGCAACTACAGTACATTACAAAGGAGTTTCTGGTAACAGGGCAACTACAGCCTTGGATGTGAAATGAGGGAACCAGTCAAACAGGTCTCTCCAGCATGTGCAGCATGTGTGCATGCAGAATGGGAGCAAACCATGTGGGGAAAGAAACATCACATTACACCTCAGCATCATGTGATTATAACAGACAATATGAAACCTAAAGTCTTGAAATGAAACGGAAGTGTCATCATACTGGATGTTTTAATGCAGAGGTAAACTCGCGCTCGCGTCTGTACCAGGCACATGTTTTCTTGCATACTGGAATGGAAGCACTTGGTGAACAAACAGTGCACAGAGCTACAGAAACACCCTTGAAAAGGGGAAACTACATCCAAATCGCCGACAAACACTGCACACTTAGGGAATTAAATGGCTGCATGTGAAATGTATGTATACATACAGTGTATCAAACCTGCAGTAAAACACAGTAAATACAAACTGCACACACTTCAAAAAGAACTGTGTGGTCACTAGTAATACTTCTGTTGCAACTGTTTGTATTTATAAAAGTACAAATATTGTATTTCATTTTATGTTGGAGGATTGTTAAAAAAAAGTTTTATTTTTATTACAATTTATATTTTATTAAAGTTACTAAAATGTCTGTATACCATCAGTTAGTTCTTAGAAAGAAAGTCGTCGGGTCAAAAAAAAAAAAAATCCAAAATCGGCTCAGAAAGTTGCAATTGGTGCATCTCTATTTGTTGTTGATCCCCTAAATAGCACTGGGTTTTGCTTGTCAGGCAAAAGAGCACACTTGAAATCACCTTGTATTGCTGCTGCTGCCCAATAATAATTCAACTTCACTGACACCTGTTCTGCCTTCTGATTATACACAGACATGTGGAACTGGGACAAATCTGAACGTCTATTAAGAAATTATCTCCCTGATTCAAGGTACAACAGAAGAGAAGATACATTAACAGAAGAGAAGATACATTATTCTACTACTGTAAATAATTTCATTTCATATCTGAACACGTGAATGTGTGATTGAATTGTTTTCTGTCTGTTTAAAATCATACACATCTAGCCACTTATTTACAGGTTCCATGTTATTTAGATGTTAGTAGTTAATATATTAATATCTGGATTTAACAGCATATGTTTAGTAAAACTATATTACAATACTTAAAAGTAATTCAAATACATTTTTACTTTTAATTAGCAGTTAAAAGTAAAAATGTTATGTACTACTTCCACATGCTCCGTTTGAAGCTTGTTCTCATATCCGTGTGTTTATACTGTATATCAGTTGTCAATGGCTTCATGTGCAAGATTATGTTCAAATTTCATATAAGCTGGGTAACATTAAAAATTCATGACACTGAGACAAAGTACTCAATAAAAAAATGGTTTCTCAGTCTGGTGACAGCTACTGTTCTGCATCTGTACCTAGGGTGGACTTGCGAAGCTGATAGGACTCGAAGTACTCCTGCAGAAGGTTGTAGCTCTTGGTGAGCTGCTCTTTCTTGTGCTCCAGTACGGGCTGCAGCACAAGGTTTTGTTCAGCCAGGGTTCGGTTGTTGACCAGTGTCTTCTCCTTGCTCTGCTGGACCTCCTGCACCTACACAAGGGAAAAAAACAAAAACAAAACCTGTCAGTGACGTCTTCATGGCAGTACCTTTGTCAGACGAAACCTCCCTGTGATGTACTGGATTCTAATTTAACCACATTGAAGAAAGTTGCTGCAGTGAATGTTAACTATGATTCATCACGCTTATGCCAGCTTTCTCACAACTCCCACAATCTTCGTCACATGAAGACAAATCGTGACCACAAATGTGTCATACGTCTGCCTAAAAATCGCACCTATCCTTTGCAACAATAAAAGCTTAATTTCAATTGTTTCAACCCTTCGTCATTTAAATTCAGTGGTGCGATATGTTTTATTTAAAAAAAACATTCTCCAGCAAGTAAAAAAAAAAAATAATAATAATAATTCAGACATGGTTGAAAAACTGTATAGGCTTAAACTCCTGCAAGGACATGACTAAAGAGAGAAATCTCTTATTTTTTAGTGACAGATAGTTGTTGACATATCACAGCAGCAAAGCTGCAGACAGATCAAATAATAAATGGCTCTGTTCTTAGCATGCCCAGACCCTGCTATGGTGCATTCTAACACAATAGCTGCTCCTGATACGACAAAAACTCTAGGTATTTGGTTCTGTAGTGAACAATAAAATGAGATTTTGGACACTTGTGTATTATGATTACTTTGTTTCCCCACTAGCAGGAGTACTGTGTTTTCAGGAAGGCCACAAGAGTCCATTAACTTCACACTTGAAAATCAAGCACTCCAAAAAGGGCTCACAATTAATACAATGCACTGTACAGTAAACAGGGAGTCATTTCGGTCACAGCTACTGTCACAGCTAACTGGGACTCCTAAACAGGGGAGCTGCATCTTCAGCGTCTTAGGTGTGTTCATGACATATCGCTCAGACTGTAATTACAAGCAGCTGATGTGATGCAAACATTCACCACAGCCTCCGAGCTTTAATTCTGTCTGAGATATCAGGAATTTCTGGCAGCTGTGATACCTCCCATTTATATACACTAATGTGAATAAACCACAGGCAAATCTGCAAAGCCTCCACTGTTGGCAAATGCATCCAAATAAAATGCAATGTTAATGCTAATACAACTGGGACTGCAACTGACAATTCTTTATCTGCAGAATATATTCATTAACAGCTTGCTCTAGGAAATATCAAAACATTGCATAAAAAATAAATAAGTAAATAAAAAAAAAAATCACAACCTGGCAGAGCTCAATGAGACACTTTCAAACATCTTACTTTATCTGGCCAAAAGTCCAAACTTAAACTAAACTCCAAAAAAAAAAAAGAATTTTCCATCAAAATCTATTAATGACTTTTTTAATATGCTGTGAACAAACCAACCAACGAACAAAGAACCAATACATCCTGATTTCTAGTCCCTTGTATGGGTCATGCTGTAGAAATGCTGGATCCTACAGTTCCCATGATACTACTCAATACCATCTTTCAAAACTCCCCCTTAAATGCCCAGTTTATCCAAACCCCGAGGAAATCATTAGCTGTTGTTTTTTTTTTTGTTGTTGTTGTTGCTTTTGTTTGTTTTCTTCACATTTTAAAAACCTCCTTCCTCATAATGAATAACCTGAATCTGATTTGGTGATGTCTGCTTTTATGCGTGCTTGAACTTAGAAAAGGGAAGAACACCACGCTGCAGTGCAAACAGTGGAGGTTTAAATAAAATATGCTCTTCTGACACTCCTCAGATGACTCATTTCACACATCCTGCCAACATGTAGTATGTGTAAATATAACCAGAACTGCGAGAGAACATGCAGGAAAAAAAAACAACTAAAAATACACTAGAACTTAGGCTGTGGTTATGGAATAGCTTCTAAAAGAAACTGAGGCAGGCCTTGTTTGGTGGTCAAACTGGATGGGGAAACAACTAAATTGTGATTTTACCACTACACTTGGCATCATCATATCCTGAAGTAACCACCCTCTCTTTAGAAAGAACTGACTCACTCATTCACAATGGCCTGCTGAAGAAGTTAGCCTTTAAATAGCATCCGTAACTGCAGGCTTGTTCTGTCAGACCAAACACATTATTGTTTGCTGGGGGAGACTCTCCAGTGCCCCACTCTTTTCATAGAGGCTGGAACACTCACAGGAAAACTAGGATAGCTTGTCAGAATGGACTTGAATTTTGGCGAGCTGATTCCAGTTTTCTATGAACTGTAATCGACAGCATACATGGGCATCATCTTTCTTTTAATGAAAAAGTAAATTGGAATAAAAATAAGTGTATCAAAGTGTTACATTTTCTATCTTTCTCTTACCCTTTTTTTAAAAACCTCCAACTAAAAATGAGGTGCAATATTTGTACTTCTCCAAATACAAACAGGTAAAACAGGTAATAGAAACAGAAGAATATCAATTACATCAGTCCTACTGAGCACACAGTTCATTCTGATGTGGGTGTAGTTTGTATTTGCTGTTTTTACCATGGGTTGGAAACACTGCACCTATACACGCATTTCATGTGTAGCCAATAACTTCCTCATTGTGTACCATCTGTCAGAGATTTGGACATAGTTTCCCCTTGTCAAAGGTGTCTCTGTAGCTCCTCGGTGCGCTGTTTATACACCAAGCACTTTCAATGCATGAGCAAACATGCACCTGGTATAGACAGGAGCACAAGCTTGAGATGCACACAAGATGCTACACATTGCACATGGTGCACTTTTGTGCCACTGCGTGTGCGACATGAACTGTTTGACCAGCACAGGATCATAAATCTCAGAGTGATAAGCTGGTCACCGGTCAAGGCCGATTACTCTGAAAACCACCAAGGTCCAATCTGTGCATCTCTAATAACAGCCATATAAAAATGTTTCCCAAAAATTTAGCATTGCTCTGTTCAGAAAGAGGAACAGTATCAAACCCAGCTTTTGGACAGAAAACTCAGAGCTAGAAATGTGTATGAGTCACCACTCTTGGCCAAAACTCTTATTTCCTTAAAAAAAAAAAAGTTGACACACTATTATTTTAGCTGTAAATGTAAACATATTAGACAACTGATCAGTAGTGATTTGAGTTCAGGTGATAAACACCTCTGAAACAACAGCAACCACACCAGCTTGTACTGTGTATATGCAGTAATGGTTATACTAAAAAGGGCCATTAGAAGCCTGGGCACCACAAGCTGTAGGCTAAAGGCTACAGAGGGAGATGGACATGACTGAACTTCAGGTAAACCCCTCAGGCAACAACAATCAATGATCCACACTGAAAAAAACAGACCCGGTCCAACTTGATCCCACCAATCATCAAATTCAGAATCAGCTCAACACTTATAATGTTCCTGCCTAATTAGCAGTGTAAAAATTATTTCCTATCCGCCCATGTACTGTTATCATATTAATTTAAACTCCTGCTTATATCGATATCAGTTAGCATTATAAATGCAGTATCCCTCAGACTGTAATTAGTCTTTAAAAAGCATGTAAACATTTGAATCAGCCCAAAATAAACAGCTTTTGGGGAAGGCACTCATGACCAAGACGTTATATCTTATCCCTTTTAAGCTCATAAACCTCAGCATGAACTACAGCATGCTTGCTCTGTGAAACCTATTCCTGAAATAGTGAAGACTGCAGAAAGCTTAAATGAACTGAAATGTTACATGGTGACATAAAACTGGGTCATCTTTAAATTAAAACCATGCTGACTTTAGCTCAGTGGATCAAAATTCAGCTAAAAATATTTTATTTATGCAGTGGCACACAGGTTCAACACGAGGTCAATTCAAATATATATACAAACAAAAACAAAACGTGTGCAGTGACACTAAACAAACTCATTGCACTATTTGCATTATTCAAAAGACCCCACAGTGTGCTGCCATCTGTGAGTTTGTCAAAATGAGAAGACTACTGTCTACAGAAAAACACTGGTATATTTGATGCAAGGGTTTGTGTCTATACACCACAGCTGTACTCTCAGTACTTCTCAGCACTCTTGGGTTTCACTCAGTGACACCCTCTGTCTTTGTTCCCATTCAGTGTACTACAAAGAAAGAATTTCCCAGACAGTTCCACCTACAGGTCAGGCATGTCTTTACTTGACTTCTTCTCTTCCATCTCTCTCATAATCGTATGACTAACTTAAGCCAACAACTGCAGTGTCATTGCAGTAAACAATTCCCTCCCTCTCTGTAACCTGTGGGAAGAGGAAAACAAAACCATGGAGACAATCAGCCAGGGTGTGGAACTGGCAACACAAAGGCTGGTTCACAGCACAACATTTGTCCAAATTGCTAATAATACTGTTCTTCTTGCTTTTGCTATGTGAAATGGATGTGGTGTGCCCACGCTGATTTACAGTACAGCAGCTTACAGTTTGTCATGTGTGAGGGCAGAGGCCTTTTATCACATTTTAAGCAGTGACTCCTCACTCTTATGCAAACCAAGCTTAAATTAGACTCCCAGTGTGAGCGCCATGACAACAAACCAGAAAGATTGCCATGTCCTTACAATGTGGGTAATTACAGATAAGGTCCATATTGTAGAGTTCGAAAGCAAAGAAGAAAGTGTTTGCCAAAGAACAGTTTAAAAAACAAAGTACGGTGGGAAACCATGGATCTGGTGGGGCTGGTTCAGTAGCAGGAAGACATTAGGGTTGATTAAAGCCCACACTGGAACTGACTAAGGAGCAGCAACATGGGAAATAACCAGAAGTCCAAATCCTGCATCAAAACCTTCTAATCTGTCAGCCCTCCTTCTTGATAATCCAGATTTCTGCTATAAAACCTTTCCAGGGGCTAGGTTATGGCTTGTAATTGCTCAGTGCATGGATAAGGTGAGGCTTATCAGCTGCTTATCCTGACAAAGTCTGAGTGCAAACCAGTTGGGAATTGCTGAGTCCTTGTACTACTGGATCAAGGCTACAGGTAAGTACCAGTGGCAGGTATGAAGTGTCAAGTGCCTCACCTACAGCTCTCATGTAGCACAGTTTAAGACCAGGTCTGAAAGCATAAGGTAATCAGGTGAATTCGGCTTTGTTCCACAAACCAGCACTTAGTGCCAATAAAACCTAATATGCTAGCTATAATGTTGCAAGAGTCTGAACGTATAGCACACTAAGCTGGTGAACAGACAGTAACAAAGGCGGGTTCCTGGTTTCGGTGTACCTGTGCTGAGAAGTCAGCAGCTTTGTGAGAGGACTAACGAAACTATATTATGAAATTAAGGTACCTGAAAATGACTCAGCATTAGTATGGTTATTAGTGTTTCCGTGTTCACACACGACCTACTATTGTCTGGAGAAGCACCCATCTTCCCTTGTTTGGAGCAACAATGCCACAAACCGGGAATCCTCGTGTGTTAAAACTTAAGACAATGCCGGGCCGTGCTCCGTCCCGACCATAAAGAGCTAACGATTTGTAGGCTAGCCCTTTTAATTTCGGAACATTTAAGTTCGGAGGAAAACACACAATTATTATCAAACCCGTGATTCGAAGCAACCATTACGTAACTGCATCGCGCGTATGTTGAGAAAGCACAACAAAGGGGTTGGGGAAAACAGTGGCCGAGAACAGCAGTCAGTAGCTACCATTGAACTACAAAAGCATAGTTTAACATACCTCCTCCGTCTCTTGGATCATATTGGAGACTTTTTCGTCGTCCTCCAGAATCCCGTTCAGCTGCGTCATCGTGTAAGTGCTAAACGTGTTGGCAAAACTAGACATTTTAGCTCTTGCGTGTTTCTCCTCGTCTGTGAGCCCCTTCGCGTTTGAGAGTGTGACAGCTGACTGAGCTCCGCGTCCCTTACAGGAACTAGACAGGATACAGGCCCATGCTGCCTTCGAGTGCTGTCGGAAACGTTACAATCATAGGTAAAACCTGTAGCTACTTTAAAAACATGGGCTACGGAATGTGGCTTTGGAGAAAAATAACATTTTGTGGCAATAAGATTGTATTAAATATAATCATGAATAATATATCACAGGTTGTTCTAGGGCATTTCAGCTTTGGTCTTTACATTTTCAAGACAGTTAAACCAATAACAATCATAAATCTCTATAGTGCATGAAGGTCCACAGACAAAGGCACCTCTCATTTCTTCGTCGTTAATACACTGCTTAACCCTGGAATTATCAGTTACGAAATTATATAACTGAACAGCCTGGATAAGAAACACCAAGCATTTTCCATACCTGCCACTGTAAAATCAATTAAAAAGCATAAACAAATCCTGAGGAAGATTTGAATAAAACAAAAATCCATATAAAGATGCTCCATCTTATGTAGTACATCAGCTAGTGATCACATTGCACATTCATTCAAGTTTTAACTCCAGTGTCAATGCCAACCCCTTCTGATATGTTCAACTCTATATAACTTGATCATAAGCTATATGTATAACTAGACTCATAGGCAGACCTTCACCTGAACTGATTCTGACATCTTAATGACATCTTTCTCATTAAAATATACAGTATCAAAGTTTGAGGTTTTGAGGATCCTGTGGTCTAAATTTTATGTAAACCACTCAATAGCTGCACAAAATATGTAGCTTATACAGTATATATGGTTTGAGCAACAATCTAATCCAATGTCCACACACTGCAGTTCATTCTCAGTAGCGAGCACTGCACTCAGAGCCGCTACTGCTGCTGCTTCGTCTTTTCTTTTGACACCGTCCATCAGACTTCCCGCTGAAGCTTTCAGATGTGTTGAGGACCTCTGACCCTGTCTCGATGCCCAGGATCTGCCTCTGCACCAGCTTGCAGTAGAGCCCCCCACTGCCCATCAGCTGACTGTGAGACCCCTGTTCGGCCACACAGCCCTTGTTGATCACTATGATGTTGTGTGCCTTCTCCACCGTGCTGAGCCGATGGGCGATCACCAACACTGTGTGCTCCTGCATGATTGCTGAACCTACAGTAGACAAAGAAAAGATTAACATACTAAGGCAGATCAACACCTCTCCGACACATTCACTGATGTACCGTAGTATCAATTGCAGGATTGGATTACATTTAAGAGGAGCTATTTCTTTTGTCCATCTCCTATAAGCCAGGTGTTAGTTGGCTTTGGTAAATATAGCTGTTTACATACAGTGTGTTCACTATCTGCATCCAGAGCGCTGGTTGCCTCATCCAGGATAAGAACACGCGGGTTGCGGATGAGAGCTCTTGCAATTGCTACCCTTTGTTTCTGCCCCCCTGACAACTGGATGCCTTTCTCTCCAACATCTGGGTGGAAAAAGGGTATAAGATGCAATAATTCATATGTATGACTTCGACTTAGTGAACCAGAGATAACACTTTAATTTCAAACTATCATATGTAGCAGAAGTCTGGCTAGTTATCTGGTGAGCTATCTGAAAAGTTTGGTGGTTAGAACAGCAGTTAACATGTTTGCTAGTTTGGTAACAATTAGCCTGAGTAGATGAAAGGTTGTGATGGGTGTGTGGGTGCAGGTAAAGAGGGGGATGGTTCTGGGATGCTGTTGAGCCTTCTCTGTGTTGTGGGCCCAACTCAACAAGGCACCAGTTAGTGAGAGGGTGCCCACCTGATGACCCTGTAGACCTGCTTTCACTCCTACACCCACACAGAATTTGTACTTGTGTTGGTGATAATAGTTACTGACTCAGTGGGGCTATTAGTAGTTTATTCTTATTTTGTTAGACAATCTTGGTAGAACAGTGTTAGTAGTTGGCCACCTGAGTGGACCCAGCTCTCAGAGGTGACTGTCATTACAAGCCAGTTGGACCAGCCACTGCTTAACCTGAGCAAACACAATGCAGATGCTGTGCGTCAAGCCACATATCTGCTCTTTGCTTGGGTGAGAATAGGATTCAGGGATGCTTTGTGTTAAGGGAAGGTTATGTCTGGAAAATGTTGTGGTGCTCCTGACTTATGACAGCATGGCCTGACAGCTCCCTCTTTGGGGCCAAATAATGGTTAACATCATTTAACTGGTATACTGAGCTTCAATATGAATGCTCTCCCATTCTTTGGCACATTTTAAATTGGATAGTGGACAATGAAGAGGGGACTAGACATAAACACATGGAGCAACTGTCTCCAGCCGGGATTTTGTGTCAGTAACAAACTCCTGCACAAACTTCATTTAATTAGTACTTTTCAAAACAAAGTAATAGTTGATGCAGCTTGGGACTACATCCTACTGACCTTAAACTAACCATGAGATTTCTCACAGGAGACAAGTGCAGGGAAGCTAGTATGAGGGTGAAATACAGTATTAATATCATATTCTAACCCTAACAGTAAATAATAGTATTAGACTTAAGTGAGTCATGTAAGTTTACCTATAGTAGAGGACATAAACATAAATCATTTTCTGAGCAGTAACAACATGTCTCTTAGTGGTTGCTTCTGGTACACTAATAACAGACTAGTGGTTCTATTTTTCCTGCCATTTCCATGACTAATTACTGTACTCAGTAGTTGACGTAGATATAAATTCATCTAATAATTACTTGTCTCATAGCTGTCAGGGAGGGCGGTGATAAAGTCATGAGCGTTAGCCTTGGTGGCAGCCTGCACTACAGCATCCGTGGGGACATCAGTCAGGCCATAGGTGATATTCTCCTGGACCGTCCGGGCAAACAGCACAGGCTCTTGGCCCACAAGAGCTAGCTGCAGAAACAAAATAACAACTTGGGTGGCTTTATGTGAGAAAGACCTTAACCAAAAATGACCTGACCCTAAAGTAACAGAAATGTAGCAACTAAAATGCAGCAAACATATTCTTCTGTGCCTCCATTGTTGTCTAAAAACACTGTTGCACACACAGCAGGGGAGATAGAAATAAGATGAAATTGATGTAGACAGACCTTGGAGTGGAGGTAGTCGTGCTGGAAAGTCTGTACAGGCTTTCCATCCAGCAGCACCTGACCGTGCTGAGGAAGGTAGAAATTTTCAAGCAGACTCACACAGGAGCTCTTCCCACTGCCTGAAGGTCCCACAAGAGCTGTGACCTCTCCAGGCCGCAGGGTGAAGGACACACCCTGCAACAGAAACTAAGAAAAGTGATCTTAAAAAATATAAAGCTTTTTATCCAGTAAAAAAGAAGGGGGTTTCACAGCTGAAGGGCTGCTGATATTTAGGCATTTACTGTATGTTAGGAATATGTGATAATAGAACAAAAATTGATTAAATATCTATGACCATTATCAAGTTCAAATTCTGCCTGTTTCCCCAGAACCACTCGTGAATAGTGTATTAGTTATACAAAGTTTATCAACACAATGTGGGAGCAAGATCCCTGAGAACAAACCTTAAGAACATCAATCTCAGGGCGTGTTGGATAGGCAAACGTGATGTCTTTAAATTCAACCAGACCAGTGCATGTGTCTGGAGCTTCTGTGCCATCAGCTGGGTGTTTGGGTTTTCTGTCCAGATACTCGAACACCTTCTCAGCAGCTCCAACTCCCTGCATGAGACCTGTGTACACTGATGCAATGTTCTGTAAAAGACATCCAGTTAATTGGATTAGTGTCTTCATGTATACGTAATGAAAGAAGTGAATAAAACAGATGAAAATACCTGAAAACTTTCTCCCAGCTCAAGTATGTAAATGAAAAAAGCTATCAAGGAACCGCTACTCATCTGATTGGTCCCTACAAGGTAGCAGACATAATAGAGGATAGCAACCTCTAGAACAAGCTCTGACATCTGGAAAAGACACACAAATCTGACTGATGCCCACACTGTAACATACACATATGATGAAACACTGATTAAAGAATTATGAACTGCTACCGACACAACTGGACCACATGTAGCATGCAAAGGCCAGAGCTTGTTTCTTGTTGAGATCGAACATGATTAAGAGCTTGGTGTAGTAGGACTCGGCCTCTCCACGCTCATTGGCAAAGCTCCGTACTGTCCTCATGGCTGAAAAGGTTTCTTCTGCAACTTTATTGGCCTGTGCAAGAGCAAAGAGAGAGAGAGAGAGAGAGAGAGAGAGAGAGAGAGAGAGAGAGATATTTTACTTTAGTTTTATCTGCAAAATAAATGATCAGCACAAACATAAGACTACTTCACCTTGTAGTATTTGCCATAAAGGTTAGAAATGAGGGCAATGAAAGGGAATCCCATTAAGGTGACCAGGGTGAGCTTCCATGACATCCCAAACATGAAGACGAGGACGCCAACACTCTTGATGGCACCACTCAGGAAGATGTTGATATTCTCAGAGATGAGGTCACTCACTTGGGTGGTGTCAGCTGACAGACGTGACATGATGTCACCTACAGGGTGACAGTGTTACAAGGAATTCTCTTTGTTTTTTTTTCAAAAAAAGACCCTTAAATTGAGGAAGGAATCGATGATGTTGATGGAAGGATGCACTGATAATGCTCCTGTATTACCTGTATGGTTTTCATCAAAAAAGGCAATTTCCTGCCTCATCAAAGTTCTGAAGAGATTGTTCCTGAGCCGAAGGTTTAATCTAGCAAATGTCAGGGTGAAAGCTCCTCCCCGCAATCCCACTGCAAATGAACTGAGGAGAAAGAAAAGGACGTCAAAAATAAAGGCTGCCATTTTCTGGTTTGTGGATAATCGGCTTCAAATGTGGCTGAGCAGCTTTCTTATACTGTAAGTCACTACATCAGCAGCACCCTCTCTTTCCTGAGCCTCTCCGTAATGCCAAAAGTAAATGATCACAATAAATAAAACAGAATCCTTGTTTGCACACTTTCTTATAAACACCACTCATTTTAAAAATGTACACAGGCAGGGATGATCTAGAAAATTTTGAATGGGGCAGCCAGGCTGGGGCACAGTTTCAAAGGGGAGTGGCATATTAGAAATACATGTAAAAAGTAAATTAAAACCCTAATTCTATGAAATAGTGAACCTTACATTATTAGGAATCAAACTGTTTATTTTGTGTAAAAAGAGACAGAGTGCTTTATTTAGCAAACATTTGGTTGGGGGACCACTGCTCCCAGTGCATCGCTGCTGAGCAGTGGTCCCCCAACCCACCCATGGCTCCGCCCATGTACACAAGATCACAATGTTGACCAACATCATGTCCTACCCCTCATCCATGCTCACTGCTTATTTCACAGCCAGAAGATATAGAGTAGACCTATATACACTTACCTGGCTATTGCCAATAATGTCACTATGATCACAGATTTAACAAAGTCCTCCTTGCTCTGGTGACCCATAATGCTGTCTATGGCCTTGCCATAGTAGTATGGTATGAAGGCATCACCTGGAGACAAAGAAAGGGACTATGATATAACGTTAAGGCTGGCCCTTTTTGGGCAGGCTGGGGGTGGTCCGTAGTGGAACATAATGAATCAAAATCAACAGAATCAATATCCATCCATTATCTATACTGCTTACTCCTCCAGGGGGGCTGGAGCCAATCCCAGCTGACACTGGGCGAGAGGCAGGGTACACCCTGGACAGGTCGCCAGTCTGTCACAGAATCAATATGCTTAGTGAATACTCTTGGGCAACAAAACTTAAATTATCATCAGAAATTTGACAACAAAATTGAGGATTAGAGTACAGCTAAAACAATTTCCTCCAAGCAATCAATACACCGAAATTTGCCCTCCAGTGGCTTGGTAGAATTGGATTTCAGGAGTTGCAGTTGTTTTATTTACTGTTAGTATTATTTTGCTTTTATAATGATAATGTTTAGTATGACTGTCTGTGTTTCATTAACAGCACCATGTATCAGTATTAACCTGGCTCTTATACATGCATAATAGTTACAATTTTCAGCTGCAGGTCAACTTGTAGTATTTCTTATTTTCTTGGATAATTGTGCAAGAATAGATTCCATAGATAAGTGTCATCTTGGAAACTAAAGATAAGACACTGTTAATTTATGCTATTTTACAGACGTCAAGTCTGACGGGCTTGAACTATTCACCCATGTCTGAAGCATGAGTAAGAGGTTTTTACAACAGAATCAGGGAAGTAAGTGACACAGCTAACTGCATGTCCATTTTCTGTTGGAAAGAAACGCCTGAAAATAGAAGATAACAACACACACACACACACACACACACACACACA